AGTCCCTTAAGCCTCAGTTTTATGTTCAGTTAAGGTTTTTTTGTTTTTTGTGTTTACTTAATAACGAAGGTAACAGAGACCATTTTTTAAAGCCATCCCTATATTTAATTTTAACCTGTAGACACGAAACTTATTAATGTAAAACGAAATGGAAAGAAAAACGTAGCCCACAAACCTACTAGGACTGCTATCGAAGAAGAGCATCTCAAATTAAACATCTCAAAATCAGGGGATGTTTGTTCGCTTTCTTCACTACTCTTCCTTTTAAGAAATGTCTGGTTAATCCATATTGTTCTTTTTACCGACAGTAATTTTCGTTTGTTGTTAGCTTGACAGTTAGGTCAACTAAGCTGTTTGAAGTTGTTTATTGGTCCGTAAACTGACTCACCGCCATCCAAGAAAAAATGTTGAGGTGTCGCTTTGTGAGATTTTTTCGCGCCGTTGATAGATACTTCCGTCCGAGGAAAGATGTTAAAAGTCTCAATGTTATAAAGGAAATGGTAAGGGTGCAGCGTGCAACTATCGAGTTATGGATGCAGTTGGGAGGTTTGCTAAGCACTCAAGAAGCTAGAGTCGCACGAGGCGATAGCCTCGTGCGACTCTTACGCTTCTTTCGTGCTTAGCAACCTCCCGCGTCCATCCATAACTCAATAGTGCACGCTACGGCGTTTACCATTTGTTTTATAACATAACATTGAGACATTGGAACAACAGAAGTCCTTTTATTGAGCTACATCACAAAAAAATGTTCGTGTAGTCTTACATGACAAGAGAAAACAAGCGCGGGAAAATTCATTCATGACAACCGACTGCACACCAGTAACTCGATAAAGTTTCATCTTCAGACAACTGTGAAGACAGTTGCGCATTTCTGGCAGAAGGACGTCGGTCATTACTTTGGAAACAATGTCTGTCAAAAGATTTGCTTTGTAAACATTAGCACACACGTCAGAAGCGTACACCCATGGGCAAATAGTAGACGCTAAATTAACCAATCAGAGCGCGCGCTTTATTTTAGTTATGTTATAAAACAAATTGTCCGAAAAGTCTCAAGATATCAGTTATAATTTGTAAGCTTATCTTAAAATGCAAAATGCTTCGAAGGAACATCTTTTTGGCAACTCAGAAAAAAAGAGAGAGACTAAAGAAAGAAGTAAATCGAATGGCACTTGTTTCAATGCTGTTTGGAACATCAAGTTAAGTCATGTTGACATGTTGTTCGTTTTGTATAAAGACACCTGCCTAGAACTGAAATCGAGCTTTGTGATGTGAAACTGAAAGCTGGAAGAATCTTTTTTGCGTTCTTCAACACGACGATCTCCAGACATTTTTAATGTCAGGTGCAGTTTCGTATGATACATTTTTAACTCAACATTTTGAATTTTTGTACCTAAAATGTTCACCGCAGCACCAACAAGATTGAACGTAACTTCATCTTTGTAGACCACACTGTAGAGAAAATGGCCATCCATTTCTACCTTCGCAGCTCTTCTAAATTTCGAAAAAGAAATTAACAACAAAAAAAAGTATTGAATTAGCTGCCACTCTAGCATGTCAGCTTCATCATCGACCATGAAAAAGTCAAGGTCTTAAAGCTAGATCAAAAAAACGCTAATTCGCTTACTTTATTTCCATCCACTCTCCCTCGCCAAAATTTCGCACCACAAGGCTTTCCAAAGCGCAGTTGACGAAACCATACTGCGCGCGAGCAGAAAGGGATTTTTAAAGAGTCAACTCACTTAAAAAATACAGTAATGGTTTTGGTTTGTTTTAGTTGAACGAAGTAACACTTACCATGGTGATAATATATAAACCCTGTTCAGCCCGTCCAAGCCTAAGTCATCACAGCTGTCAACATTTCTTTCATTGACATGTAGCTGACACTTGACTTTTGTACAACGCGGTTTGTGATTGGTTCATTAAAGAGGGTTTGAGCGACTGTTTTCCGTAAAAGATGAGTTGTTTTCATGTTTACTCAGATGTTTACTTATTTTGCTCTCGATCACTACTAAATCATGAGGTGCTGGTTGTCAACATTTTTTGCTTTGCATAGTAAATGTTTGAACCCAGGAGTATCAGTATCAGTAGTTCGTATAGTGTGATCGTCCGGGTGAGTGTAGTTCTGAAAAGAACTGTTGTTGGTGACTNCAGTCACCAACAACAGTTCTTTTCAGAACTACACTCACCGGAACGATCACACTATACGTACTATTTTTTGCTTTGTTTCAGTGTATGTGTTGCGAAAGAAAACCTTTTTGATCATCTTTTCCTAAATGATACACAATCGAAAGACAATTCACTGCGCCTTTCAAGAACATGCGGACTCTAAAATTCAAAGCTCAACCGACAAATGCGTTTTTCGCTACCGTCAATCAAGTGTTCGGTGGCTCCTCCCAGCTTCCGACCCCTGCCGAGCGCGCGGTAATCACATCGTTGAGCACAGTTCAGACAACGAAACAGTGTTCGGCAGTAGTTGGAAGATGGGAGGAGCCGCCGACCATTTGATTGACGGTAGCGAAAAACGCATTTGTCGGTCGAGCTTTGAATTTTAGAATCGCCTCTAACCACAACGAAACGGAGTGAAGTAGTGTTTTCCGATCCACCGGGGAGTCTACGTGTAAAACGCCAGCTAGACATAAGACTGGAAATTCTCTAATTGACTAAATTTGGAATTAATGCGGTTACGTCTGGTAAAATAGAGCAAAGGACCTGGACATTTCCTGAGCTGGAAATAAATTCAAAATACTGTTCTTTCTGAATACAAACATCCCTGTAACGTGGGACCATGTCGGTTGTCGGTTAGAATTTTTTTGTTGCCCAGTAATTTTTTTCTCGTTTTGTCGGTAGTCAGTAACATTTTTCGCCCTTTGTCGCTAGTCAGTTAACCCCATTCAGACGCTCCTTTCACAGTTGTTGTCTTTTTCGCATTTTTTACGCGTATATTTACTTTGGCTTTGTTCAGCAAAGTGCCCGAAATTTTTGTCCGAAATGAGATTTAATGGCATCCGAAAATTAACCGTCCGAAATAAAAATGTACGAAATTTTAACGTCCGAAATTTTGCAAGTAATTTATGTGTCTATTACATCGAGATGCGGCGTCGACAAAATCTGGATCGGACCGGACCGGACCGGATCACGGATCGGATCACGGACCGGATCACGGATCGGATCACGGATCGGATCGCGGATCGGATCACGGATCGGATCACAGAAAAAAAAAAAAAAACGTTTTAACGCAAAAAATAATCAAATCGTTTATAAGATAATAATAAATAAAAACTAAAATATGTTAAATAAAAATAAGAATCCCGAATTTGACGCAATGACATGTTAATTACAGAGAATGACAAGAGGTCAGTTAAAAAGCCACAGA